GGCTTATTATGTACTTATTGAACTGAGTGTAATCTTTTTTTAATCGTGTTGAACAGAGTGTGATTAATGATTTTATTTGTGATAGTTGGATGTATTTATCGATCCTGGGATGTATATTTAAGAAAATTTAAGGCAGTGAAACTTGTCAAAATGACACAGCATATGTGTCCCTGCAGATGCACACTGAATTCCAATAAAAAAAGCAAACTGCTTTTTCTGTACGCACAAGCAGATATAGCCATATCTTACCTTCTTTTAAAGCATCAATTGTTGATTGCAGATCTTGACGATCTTTTTCAAGGCTAGAAATTTTCTTCCTGCAAAAAGATAGAGAGTTAAGTGAGATCAATACACATCTCCACAGATATCTAAAGGTTAATGACAATGGGAAAAAGATTCAACTTTTTATTCTGATATTCACTACCCACTTTCACTTCAATGCTACAACTTTTATGCCAATACAGATTAGTATGAGATCATATACATGCAGCTGCTCAATATGATTTTCAACTAGTTACTTTCAGAAGCCACGAATCCTTTAGAAGCATCATAAGTAAAAGCAACACATTCTGCCATCATTTGGCATATCTTTTTCATATTCATCAAACAATCGGTATTTCCATTACCAAGAAACAATTAAACCACAACTCACCTCCCTCTTCTTCTTTTTTTTGACAAGGTAAATAATTTTATTAAAAGAAGGGGAGAACCCCGTATACAAGCTGTATGCCAACAAAAGAGAACCTACACCACAACATGGTTCTCAAGGAAGAAAACCAGATCATCTATACAAATAGGCACCTCATAGGTACACCAACAAGAAACCAGAGAAAAGACTATTTTACAACTTTACAAAATGAAAAGATGCATGCCCGCTCTAAAAGAGTGGAGAGTCTAAACGACAGGAGGAAGGAAAAATGGAGAAGAGAAGAAAATGACAACTATAACCAGAACAAAGTTATGTGGGAACATGACGGCCTTAATTAATTTACAGTCAAGCCTCGAACATACTTGAAAGAAGACATTTCAGCTAGTGACTTCTCCAACTCTTTCTCCAGTTTAAGCTCATTAGATCTTAGACGAAGTGCCTACAAAATGTTGTAGACAAAAATATAAAGACCAGAAAAAATAATCTATCCTATTATTAAAAAAATTAAAAAAAAGAACAAAAGTTACGGTCTCAGCCAATTATCAATAACATTTTTTTACAAACAGAATGGGAGAAAATAAAAAGAAAGAACAGGCACAAAAGAGAGTTCATATTTAGTTGGCAAAGATTCTATCCCAGGAAAGAAACACGAAAAAGAAAAAGAGAGAAAAAAGAAACAGCATCCACTTACCTAAAAGGACGGGTGAAAAAGAATACACAGGTTGGACATCTCAATCACCCAAAACTAGCATTATTTGATTTAAGTAACTATAAGTTATTAAGTTAACCGTTATCCTTAGACCATCAGAAAGCTTGACAAAAAGACCAGATTTCCCTCTAACTGCCACAGCATTATATGTGAGAAACTCAAACATTAACAAGACATCATCTTTTAATACTTGGTAGAAGATAGTTTAAACAAATAAGTGAAATAACGCAAACTGTTGTGCAGACATCTGGAGAAGCCAATTTCTATTTTCTTTGCAGTTACTTAACAGTCAATTTCTTTGACAAAGAACTATTTTTTTCATACCAAAAATGTGAAGTACAAGAATAGCATACGATTGCAAGAAATGCTGTTACCATTTGAACTGAATAAGTATTAAGTGATTAAACGCCTGATGTGTCTGATAAGGCAAAAATGCTCCAGACATTAGGCTCCACTTAAACAGCTTAAGTTTTGTTTTACATTGAACAAACCTGACATATAATTCAAAACTAAGTAATTAGATAGTGAAACATAAAGTCTATAATTCCTTATTTCAAAGTCAATACAGTCAACTTATATATACACCATGACTTCCACTAAATTACAATTAAAAATGAAATGACATTACACTAATTCAAGCTATGATGTATGTTAACGAAGTTAAACAAGTTTCAAATTTCAATGTGAAACCATTAACAAAGAGGAAGTAGTGTTAAATCACTTTAAAGTCAATACATGCCTAACAAATTATATTGATATAGACACGCCTAACAAATTATTTGGGTCAACAGAAGGGAATACTGCAGCTAATTACCTTCTCTTCCAAGCCAATCACTTCGGACGCCAACAACTTGGCGCGTTCATCAGCAGCATTACATTCCAATTGTACATTTGTATATTCCATTTTCACGGCTTCAAGTTCACCCTAGTTACATTGAACTCAATAAAGAAAGCAAATCATATACCTCAAATTACAATAATACTGAAAGCTACTGACTCATCCAGCCATCTGATTACAAAAATTGATGGAAAGAAAAAAGAGCGAGTTTTCCATGTATAGATGGCACACAGCTCATCTAAACAAAGACAATAAATGAAATTAGTACATCATAGTCATACAGCTCCAGAACCTTGTCCAGAAGATCCTAGATATATGTAACCAGATTTTAGATGCTCAAGTACAGTTTTTTGACAAGTAAGGTGATTAAATACATTCTTCAACAGGTTTTTACAGATACCTCAAAATGTATGCCTCTTGACAAAATTTAAATCTGGAGAACCATTCAAAATCAGTTAGGGAATCCGTTACCATTTGCCAGACCAAATGTCAGACTATGAGACAGTAAACAAACTTAATGAAGCCAGATCAAAGAAAGTGCGGAACAAGGACTAAGTTTTGATCATGAAAGACAGAAATTCAAGTAAAGAAACAAACAAGTTGATAAATACTCCCTCTGATTCATTTTATATGGTGGTCTTTAACTGCGCAAATAGTTTTAAAAGGAAAGAAAGACTTCTGGTCTATGTTGCTCGGACTCTAATATCGCCGGGTGCGTGTCGGATTCTCCAAAAGCAGTGTATTTTGGAGAATCCGACACGGTGCAGCAATATTTTGGAGAGTCCGTGCAACATAGCTTCTGGTACATATCAAAAGCACCCTCAAAACTTATGGTCTTAAACATCACATAACATTTCTATGGTTGTAAGAGCATGTCATACGGATAAATTTGGAAGTTTAAAATTTAAAAGTTTCCAAATATAAAAAAGTGTCTTTCTTTTGGAACGAACTAAAAAGGAAAAGTGTCATACAAAATGAAACAAAGGGAGTAATAGATACTAGTGTGACATACTTGAGAAGCAACTATGTTAAATTCTTCAACTACCAATCAACTCTCTTGATCATTTAATAAATCATTTGTACTCTAAAGAGTTAAAACCATATTACTATTGCACACTCCACAGAAAGGGAAAAAGAAGTAAGAAGCAAAGAAATGGAAGATTCGGATAACCAGTATGTATTGCTTCACTTTCTAACTTTTACATAGAGCAAATCAAGTCTGTTAGATGATAAAGAACGTCTTTAAACTAGTTCTCTTCCAATCTGTATAGTGCTGGATGATAACTTTTAAGATGTCACATCAACAACTCCAAAACAAATTGATCAATATTACTTCTTGATAAATCAAAGGGAATAAAACACAACAACTATGCCTCAGCTACAAAACAAATTGGGTTCGGCTATATGAATCTCCATTTAGGCTCAACTCATGTCATCATCATTACCAAACAAAAATAAAAAGTGAAAAAGTCAGATATACATAATAATAATAGTAGTAGTAGTACACACACGAGACTCAAAAATTTGTGCTAAATAGCGTGGAGGTTCGAGTCCTCTTCCCCTCGAATAGATTCTTTTTTTTTGTTTAAAAAGAATGTTGTTATGTTGTTTTCAAGGGTGCACTAATCATAATAATAATAAATATAATAAATAATATTCAAACAGAATAAAACCAAATACAAGTCCTTATAAAAAATGATAATAAATGCAAGTCATCACTAACAACTTCCAGAAGTTCAACATTTCAAATATGTTGCGGAAACAGAACACCTAGAAGTGCCGGAAGACTCTAAAAAGGAAAATGCAGATTTTGTAATACAGTACAGCTGGGGGTAAGCAAGCAAGATTGTACAGACCAGATGAACTTTAATCTCCTCCTGCAACTTCTCCATCTCAGCCTTTAGTTGGGCAACAAAACTTCCCTACAAAAGAAAATACAGGTCATGTAGATTTATTGCAAAACGTAAAGGCACACACATCATTACCAAAAGTGTAAAGATTTTCAAGGAGAAACCAGCAATATGAACTGGTCATGTAGATGTATTGCAAAATGATAAAAAAAACAAAAGCACACATAAGAACTAAAACTCAACCAAGAGAAAGGAGAATATAATTCATAAACTGATGTGGACTCAAAAAGTCCTTTTTCAAATTTTATGATAAGCACTTAACAACCTTTAGCTTTGACAGGTGACTAATTAACTGCTCAGCTTTGTTACACAAGTCCTTCAAAACCACCTGCCACACCATGTCTGATCCAGCAGGATTTAGGTGTGAGTTGTGGGATACGCATAGGATTGGCACCATATTCTTATTCGTATTCCAGAATTTTAGGATTTAAATGATGATGAATCTAACCTCTAATCCACACCCGTATTGGATATCCGTGCTCATCTCCATGTAACTTAGCTACTCAGATCAAAACCTAAACAGGGGCCAAGTGCCCGAGTAGCGCATTGTTGTCTCTGAAGCTCTCTGACGAGAACTTATTGCCCTGCAACTCCAGTTTTTTATTTTCATTCTCATAATTATTGCTAAATATACATATGTAGACACAAAAACACACACACCTAAGGCACACACTTGTTCTAGTTCTATGACTTTTCAATTAATACTGAGATATGTATACATCTACTAGCCATGTCTTGCCAACTGCACCTATATTTGTATCCTAGAGTTCAAGATTTAAATAATGATGAATCTGCAAGGCGTATTGGATACCCGTACTCGTTCCATGTAACATAACTACTCAGATCAGAACCTACACAGGGGCCAAGTGCAGACTAGTGCATAATTGTCTATGAAGCTCTATGTAGTTCATTCTCACACTGATGTAGCTTTCAAGGTAAGTTAGCTCATCGATCATGCCTCCAAGAAGACATTTAGACACTGACCCAGAGCTAATCTTCACTAGCATATATTGAATAAAAGGTATTTCAACTATGAAGAAAATAAGTGGGTGTTTGGATAAGCTTTTAAGCTGGTGGAAACCATCTTATAAGTACTTTTGGCTCATCTAAGCATTTAGTAAAGTATAAGCAAAATCAACCAAAACATCACTCCCTCCATTTCAATTTATGAGACGTAGTTTGACTCGGCACGGAGTTTAAGAGAAAAGAGAGACAGTTGGAACTTGTGGTCTTAAGCTTAAAGAGTAAAAGCTTTGTGGGGCCATACATTTGTGTGACTATAAAGCTTCTCATTAAGAGTAAAATGGATAAAATGTTTCCAAATTTAGAAATGTGTTATTCTTTTTGGAATGGACTAACAAGGAAAATATGTCACATAAATTGAAAAAAGGTAGTACTTTTTTTTATAAAGCCCTTCAAAAGTATTATTTTATCCCCCAACGCTTGATAAAACAAAACCCGAAACTCCCTCTCCAGTTCATTTCCATTGTTGATCTTTTTCCATGTAACGATACATTTTATATTTTTTTTGTAAATAGCTTTAAGAGCATTTCAATCGTCTTAATAAAAAAGTGCGGACTTTTTTACCAAACACATTCATTGTTTATTATTAGCTTCAGCACTTCTATCCAACCATGTAATTACTTATTTATAGATTCAGGTTAACCACTTAAAAAGTGTTTTCCGGCACTTGATGTTCTTAAGCTACTTTTAATCAGCTACGCCAAACGTGCTCAAGTAAATAGCCTATAGAGTAGGTATGCCACTAGGACGTAACAATGAGAGTTGTCTTGGGATCCTATATAGTTATCCAGTCAAATGTTATTATGAGATTAGTGTTGGCAGCACGACCCACCAACAACAACAAAAGCCCCATTACTCTAGTTTATTTTGGTGCCTTTCTGCTTACAACTCCATGACTTTGTAGTCCATTTTACTTATAATTCTCTATCAATACACGCCAGCAAGTTCTCATGTAAATCTTAGACTAAAGGGACTCGATGAACACTTTACATGAACACTATAAAGACAGGATGTAACAATTTTGACTTAGTTATTCTATGTTAGTACCTAACACTGGTATAAGAAAACGACACTATTTCTTTGATAAGGATTTTAGGATTTCAACAAAAACGCATGAAAAGAACAGTCGTACAATACTCATTACATACTTCTACCAGAAAACCATGAGGATGGCACATAATCCTTTAGTAATGCATTAGGTTTGACAACAAAAATGTAGAAAATAATTAATGTACAAGTTACCATAAGAAAACAGCTGACACATAATAATGCTGACAAGTTGTATAAGGGAGAATCAGAACTTCTATTTTGCCAACAGTTAATCTGAAAGCTTCTCATTGGGTTTGGAAACAACGTGGCCTATGTAACATATATTTTAAGCTTGCATATGCTTCCCTATGGAAAGCCTGCTAAGTATTGACTTTTGACAGTTCTGAATAAACGCAGAAGTATGAAAGTATACCTGTTGGTTATAACTATCTGTCAGAGTTGAATTTTCAGCAGCTAGAGACTCTGCTAGAGCTCGTGAAGCCTCAAGAGCACGTTGTAAGGAGAACTTCTCTTGTGTTAAATCTTCAATATGCTGTAGAAAATAAGCATAGAGCATGTTACTGTTTACTACTACAGATCCTATACAAAATCCGATATCCGGACAAATATGGGTCATGCATGTCCCTGTCTTTTTCTTTCCAAAGGCTGTCCCACCCCTCAATAGAAACGGAAGATGCCAATTCTTGATTTTGGATATTATCTGAATGATGAAGTTCAAGTGACCTTTAATTATTAGTATACACTAGAAATACCTATTCTATCTTTTTCTTTTAGCTCCATCAACCCTGGATATGTAGAAATGCATGGCACCATTCTTTTATTGGAACAAGAAAAATAAACAAATGCATGAGACCATAAATCTTGACAGTATTATTTGAATGAAGCAACAAGGTGTGTGTTTATTACTCATATCCGTTCACTGCAGGAAAAAACTCTTTTAGCTTAATAAATGCACAGGACATTCTGTAGTTCACAATTAAAAACAAGAAACATGATTGGGTTTTGGGCAGTTTCAGTTCGCATCAAATTACCTTTCAGCACATTCAACATACCGACATTATTTCTCTTTTTCCAGCTTAAATTGTATATGCACATGTGTAAACATGTATATGTGTGTGTACATATATATATATATAATAACCGACAAAACCGTAGGCTCCGGTTACAAAAGTCGGTAGATAATGGGGCCTCGCTCCTTCAAGGCTTCAAACGTCTCCACATGAATACCAGACCTGGTTCCCCAGCAGGATTTGAACTTGCTACTCGCCTATCATATATATTACAAGGTGCAAATTAAATAAAGCTCTGGCTAAGGAATCTCTTAAAGTGGATGGCATTATTTCCACATGTTATACAGTGTACACTATTTTAGAACCTTCTCTAGCACTTAATATCTTCTATTTGATAGAGATCATATGTTTATTACTCATTTACTCCAAAAGAAAACCTTGAGAATAAGGTATATTGTTCTTCATTTTTCATAAATTTAAAAAAAAAAAAAAAACACCAGACATCATTCTCTTTTCTTTCTTTTGTCAAAGGATTTTCACGCTACCTAATCGATCTAACATGCTCTTAGACAAAAGACAACTCTATGTTAGTATGCCCTATATAAGCAGTTCATCTAAAATTGTGCCAAGATCTGTTGTTATGAGTAGAGTTTCTACATCCTAGTTTACACCCATTGTGGCTAACAACTTGAAGTTCATGAAATTGCTTGCTATTTTTGACAGCGGGCCTGAAACAATGAAATAGTTAGTTTTCACAGTCAACTGAGTAGGAGACTCTAAATCTTGTGCCTATCAATTGCCATTATTTGAACCAATTCATGATACTTAGGAAATTTTGGTAGCTGAATAAGCAATCTGCTTTATGAGAAGCATCACATTGTTGGTGACTGGACAGCATTTGTTTCCAGTCCAATGTTCTCACTAAAGTAGGCAATAAGAATATATGCTAATCCAAAAGGAAGGAAGTAAGGAGCAATTTTAGCTTCTATAGGTAAATGGTATTCAACAATTGTAGACCTACTATTTAAAAGAGGGAAAATTGTATAATAACCTGTTCTAAAGCAGCAAAATCTTCATTTTGCTTTTGTGAGTAAAATGGATGTCTATTGTCCATGTTTCCCACATCTTTCTCAACAGCATGCTTGTATGGATCCACCCCATTACCAGTAATTTTTGAAGGATTTGTCAAGTTCTCAGAATTTGATGAACCCAGACTGTCCTTAGGGTGAACAGAGTTACATGTGTCTGTAGTGAATGATCCTATTGAGGGAGGGGATGCAGCAGAAACTTTTGAAATGTTGATGGAATCAAGGAAAGATGGAGATCTCCTCCCAGTTGCCCCAGTTGTGAGCAGAGACATCTGTGAGTAACTAGAAGAACTTCTAGCATCAAAACTAAAACCATCATACTTGGAGTCCGACGCCCAAGGAGAAGTTTTAGTCGAGTCAATACCGGAGCCACTTAACTGGCTGTATCCTTTATCAGGCAGCACAAAATTACTAGATCCCACAGCAACATCATTTCGCCCAACTTCAGGATAAAATTTTGTGACACTGGTAGCACGAGGCATGTAATCTACCAAAAAAGGGGATATAGATATCAGATTGTGCACCATCAATGCGGCAAAGCAAATAGTGCATTACATTAATCAGTTTGCTGGGTCAAAGAAACCATATATAAATGGAGAAAAGGAGATAAAGAAATTATGGAAACAAAGGTTCTTCAGGTGCAGAACAGATACAATATAACCAAGAAAATTACCACCATATGAAGAGGAACTCATGCCACTAGTCCAGCGATCTGTATAACTTGGCTTGTCTTGGTGAGAACCAAATGAATTTGAAGGTGAACCAAATGAATTTGAAGGTGAGACATTTGCAGGAAAAGCATGAGAAGTACCATCATTAGTTACAGAATGATCCTTTGCATGATTCTCCTCCGATATGCTTTTACCCAGATCATCATAGGTGAACTGACTTGAAATTCTGTCATTATTGGGGGGCAATGACGGAAAAATGGCTGTAGAGTGACTAGTTGCAAATCCGAATGGAAGACCTTCTAAGGCCCCATCATTCTCCCTCTTCTCAGTGGAGTCATAAGTATCACTAACTCTTTCAGATACCTTAAGATTCTCATCACTTTTAGACCCTTTATCTTCTAAATGAGATAACGCTGAATTGGAAGAACCAAAATCATAACTGTTGGCACGAACAGCAGAAGTTAGAACAGCATCATCGTTGTACTTGTACAAACTAGCCGTAGCACCAGCATTAGCATCTTGGCAAAAAATTGAATCAGACTTCTGGGTAATATCAGGCTTCGCAAAATCATGCTTAGCATGTACTTCAGAAGGTTCTAGAACAGATCCGCCAACAGCATCAGATGTACCAGCTCCACTGGAGTCCTTAATTCTAGAGTGCTCATTTACCGAAGATTGATTCTCTACACCTCCATCAGAAGCAAGCTGTTGACTATTTGGAGTCGCCTTTTTAGCCTTCTCTACTGCTCTCTTCTTGCGAAACTCCTCTAGCTGCAAATGATACCATTGCAAAAGTATCAGATAAATAAGAAGTGCACCAAATTCTATAAAGAGCAAAAGCAGGTGATGTTCAGAACATAGACAAGGCAATAGCAATTTAGTGAAGTCGAAACAATAGAAAAAAAAGGAGCAGCCAACAACCTCTTTTAATACAAAAGAAGATTAATCTAGAGGTTCGTATGATGATAACCATAATATTAGCAGGATGCCACATCTCGTGGGACAACACCAACTCATATTTCTTTGGAGTTCTTGATGTCACAAGTATTCAAATTGTTAAACAACGGCAAAGTGAAGACAAGATTAACATTTTGAAAGATGGCGTCCGGAGCTTTTAAGGTGCGATCTTTTAGAAGATATCCGCACCAATGTGCTTTCGAAATACATCCGCACCAATGTCGTAGTATAGGAAAGCAAAACCTGGTTGCACAGGAGGAAGGGAACGCGTACCCCACCCAAAACCAGTCAGCCAACATATTAGAGTCTTTGTACTGACAAATGACAATTCTTTTAACTACTGCCTTAATAGAAGATGTTCTGAAATCAATAGTATACCAGTTATGCAGTATTATCAGCTATACTGTTAGGGATAAGCCAAAAAAAATAGAAACAGCTATCTCAACACAGCTAATGTTCACTTCTACCTAAAACGATCAGATTGATCAGCACCGATGCTTCACATAAGGCTCAAAGGTTTTCTATCATCTAAATCAATCCCTGACCAGCTTTACCTGATTACATGTTTCCGAGTATCAAATCTTCGTATAACCAAGTCTTTCAAAAAGCATCACCATCGGTCTCATCTCATGCTAGTTCCGTTCAAGTATTGTGACATTATAAGCTCTGCCTTACAGAAGATGATCTAGGCAATGATATCTTTCACTGCCAGCCTCACTTGAGTAGAACTGTCTATAACAGTTTGAAAATCTAGAATTTATCCAACCACCAGACATGAAAAGGAAATATCAACAAAAAGCACCTTCTCAAGCTACCTCAAACCTTAGTCTTGATGTGTTTTAATTCATACAAAACAATTGAAATTGCATGAATTTCACAAATCAAAAGCCATATCGCAATCCTTGTTTATGGATGATAAAGGATAAATAGACAGTGCACCTCAAATTTCCCCGTTACATTAGGAGCTAAGGGTTCAACTGACCTCAGTAGCTTTGGCTCAGACCAAATCTACCCTCCCCATATCCCACTTGTGGGATCTTAGTGGGTTGTTGTTGTTGTTAACTAAGTCAAATGGTTAGTGGGTTCGATCACATCCCAAACCCATAAAGTTTAGATCCTGGATCCACCTCGATGTGTCACATTCTTGTAAATACATAGGGAGTCCGCAAACTTCAACTATATGATAACAATTCAAAGGTACTTATGATAATTCAAAGTAAGAGATTTCTTTACCGCACTCCAACTTGTACGCAATCAGAAGTAGAATATGATTCATTACAAATCTTCTCCACTCATAGAACTCAGCTCATTAACATTACCAAATATTAAACATTAATTTGCAAACAATCAAGTAAATTAAGTAATCCTACAACCTTAACAAATTATATCCTTAAACCAAACCAAAGCATCTCTTTTCTAAGATTAAAAAAAAACTCAAGTACCTTCTTTTTCCCAGCTTGCAAATGCTCTTGCTTTTTTAGCACCTGAGCTGACGCCATTCAAATTCGCATAAAATCAAAACTTTCCTCTTAAATCCTCGCCCCAAAACCCTAATTTAAAAAAATTAAACTCCAGATTCTCTTATAACAAAACAGGTCAATCAAATCTACATTTCATTTCATATACAAGAAATAATTGTGAGTAATAATAACAAATTCAATTCTCAATTTCGGGGTAAATGGATAAAAATTCGAGTAATTGAGGGACCAAAATTTGGAATTTTAAAAATGTTGGGGAAGAAAAAAAAAACCTCAATTTGATTCAGAATAAGGGCTCTGATGGGATCGAAGAAGAAGAGAAAGTGAAAAGAAAAAGAAAAAGCTCATTTCAAATGTTTTCTATTTTTTTCTTTTTCTGTAGATTTGCAGCTCTTGAACTTTTGTTATTTTGCTTTTCGGATTAAACTATTCGAAATAGCTTAAAAATATAGTTCGTTTATTTTTTGTGCTAAAAATATACCATTCGTCTATATTTTGGCTCAAAAATAACCCTAAACTGTTAGTTTTGCCATTGAAATTGACATGACAGTCCAAACTGGGTTAGAATTATTTTCGCGGTCGTCGACCTAAGTAATCCATATGTGTAAATAATTTTTTTCGGAATTTTTTTTTCAGAAATTTTTAATAAAATACAAAATCAACATTTATTCTGGAAAAAGTAAAAAAAAAAAATCGAAAAAAAATATTTGTTTCGAATTTTTTTTAATTAAAATACAAAATCAACACTTATTCCGAAAAAAGTAAAAAAAAAATTACGAAAAAATTGTTCTTGATTAGGGTTTATGATTTGATTAAAAAACTCCATTGTTCTCTTTTGTGAATTTACGATTATAGATATCGAAAATTCATATAACCGACCCCAACTTGTTTAGGATTAAGAAACTGACGTCTTTGTTGTTGTACAGATAAAGTTTTAATTTTTTTTCTTGTAAACGTTGTGTGTTAATTTTCTTTTTTGGAGATAAAGAATGGGGTTGAAATTATAAAGGGATAATGTTCCAAGACATAACTGCTCTATTACTAGATTCAAAAGCATTCAGAGACATAACTCCGAAATTCATAAAAGAGAACAATGGAGTTTTTTTAATCAAATCATAAACCCCATTCAAGAATAATTTTTTTGTAAATTTTTTACTTTTTTGGAATATGTGTTGATTTTGTATTTTAATTAAAAAAATCCGAAATAAATATTTTTTTCCGAAATTTTTGACTTTTTTCAAAATAAATGTTGATTTTATATTTTATTAAAAAGTTCTGGAAAAATAAAACTTTTTGAAAAGACAATTTTCACATATGGATTGCTTAGGTGGACGACCATATAAGTAACTCTAACCGAGTTGGACTGTCATGTCAGTTTTATGTCAAAACTAACGGTTGAGGGATATTTTTGGGCCAAAATATAAACGGCAGGGATATTTTTGAGCTATTTCGAATAGTTCAAGGATATTTTTGTACATTTTCCGTTTGTTTTTTTAGTGTTTTTTTTTGTTTTTTTGTTATGACGTTAATTATTTGTTTTACCCACCGGCAGTTACAGATATGACGTTGCAGCAAGGTTTTATAGGCTGACACGTGTACTTTTGATGGCACGTGACACACCTGCAACAATGATTAAGTCAATAAAAAAATGAATGAATTTTCTTAATTTTGTTGAACTTTTTAATTTAGAAAATGACATTACACCTCTTAGGTTTTTAAGTTTTATAGCCTGCCAAACGGGAGAAATCTTTTGAGAAGTGCTTATTGCAAAAGTATTTTTGAAAAAAGTACTCTTAAAGAGAAACAATTTGTGTTTGGCTAATCGCTCTAAAAAACACTTTTGAGCAATAATTTGTGTTTGGCCAAGCTTTTCAGAAAGTGATTTTAAGTATCAAATTACGAATAAGGACATGAATAGATTACTTAATAGTTAATATTATAAGTAAATAAATAATCTCAAAAATTTGTTATTGCAGGCAATAATTAAATCTTTTATTTTATTTAACTAAAATATGAAAATAAAATTAAAAAGTACTTAATTCTTTTAATATAAGTTAAATATATTAAAAATCATTCAACAAATATAAATCATTCACCCCTAAAGTCACTATATATTAGAAAGTTATCCTAAAAATAAAAAGAAATACTTATACATTAATATCCTAAGTATTAGGTTTAACGGTTATTTGGTATATACTATTAGCGTGTTTGGCCAAACTTCTTTTTGGCCAAAAGTGTTTTTTTTTTTTTTGCCAAAAGCACTTTTGGCCAAAAATTGAGGTGTTTGGTCAAGCTTTTGGAAGGAAAAAAAAATATTTTTGAGGAGAAGCAGAAGCAGCTTTGGAGAAGCAGAAAAAAGTAGCTTCTCTCCAAAAGCACTTTTTTGACAAAAATACACTTAGAAACAGTTTTTTAATGCTTCGTCAAACACTAATTGCTGTTCAGAAGTGCTTTTCAAACTAATTAGCCAAACACAAACTGCTTCTCACCAAAAGTACTTTTGAGAAAAACACTTTTGAAAAAAAACACTTCTCAAAAAAACTGATTTTTGCAACTTTGCCAAATGGACTATATATTTTATTAAGGATATTTTTGGTAAGAAGAAAAGTCAAAATTGCTTCTGCTTTTGCTTTTGGGAAGAAGCTACTTTTTAGCTACTTTTTTCTATTTCTCAGAAACTATTTCTGCTTCTTCTCAAAAGTACTTTTTTTTCTCCAAAAAATCTTGGCCAAATACCTAAATTAGGGGGGAAGTACTTTTGGGAAAGAAAAAAAAAAGAAGAATTTTTGGCCTCTTGAGAAGCTTGGCCAAACACATTATTAGATAGACCTTATGAAAAATAATTTGACTTGCCGTACCTATTCAAAACATTTATTATCGGAATACGATATAAGTCCAAATTCAGTAAAATGTATATTTAATAGTAGTTCATATATTAGAATCTAATTAGTTTGGAAATGAAGAATAGTTGTAGTCCAAAATTGGTAACTTTTCGCAGTAACTGTGGGTGCAAAAATGATGTTAGATGAAAGATTATGGTAATAACGCAACAATATATTGATTTGGTGCTCAACTACATTAGTAGTAATATATTTTAGTCAATCTTGCTAGACGTAATGGTAAAATTATTATATTAGGGAAACACAATTATTGCAGCTCGGATAAAAAGGCAGAAAAGTAATTCCATTGTATCACAAAATAAAGTAAAATGAAAAAAAAAGTCATCGTTGCTTGATTACTCTTCTTAATTATACATCCCCGTTTAAAACTCCACATGTTACTTACAGTCAGACATCTTTATAACAGTGTTCTAATATAATGATTATTCACTATAAAAGTCAAGTTTTTCTCAAAATCGATTGTTTAAGTTATATTTTACCTCTTTATAATAGTATTTTACCAGTAACAACAACAACCATGTTTATAGCAGAACGCTCTTTGTAAAATTACCCCTCTATAACAACCATATAAAATCTTTAAGGTTACGAATAATAATTCTTTAAATATGACCACAAGCTTTTTCACTGTACAAAGTTTCTATTTTGCATAAGACATAAGATTTGAAGATTTGCACATGATATTTTTTCCAGTGGACAAATGCCAAAAAAAATATGAAGATTTAATTATGAAGCTCTTAGATTATCTTCAAGTGAAAGATATTGGATACCTTTTTGCTGAAAATTTGGACATGAATGTTCGTCAATTCAAGTATTATATCGCTCGTAAGAGAGTGAAATCTATGAAACAAGCTACAATTACAAAGTTCTTCCATTAATCTTGAAAGAATTTACTTTTTAAGTAGCTTTAAATGTGTGCCTTAGAGTTTAAATCTTTCTCATTTAGTTATGAATTTATTCTTAATATATTAGCTTTCGTCAATATTTAACTAGTGAAATACGCATATCTTTTGAGATTTTAAATTTGAATAATTTTCTTATTTTTTATATGTAACATTAGAAAAGGAAAAACTGATATTTGAATAATTTTTATCTATAACGGCCAAAAATATCGAAACAAACGAAATTGTTATAAAGAAGGTTGAATGTTATTATTTTTTCATCCTTTTAATTGGACATCTCTTTATTCACAATACATTCAATGGATAATTCATCGGAAAAAAAAAATTAGAAAACAACTAAAGTTGTAACTCTTTTCTGTATCACTTTGATCGTTATAAACAAGAAACAATAAGGGTTCTCAGAATAATCTTTCAAAAGGCAAAGATAATATTTGTCACCGATGTGGTATGAAAAATCATTGGACACGAATTTATCGTACGCCTGAAATATTTTGTCAAACTTTATCAAGTCTCCGTAAAAGGGAAACAAAACAAGGTTGAGACTCACTTGATATTTCAAAATGATGTTGAGGCGGACCCTGTGAATAATCATGATAAAGTTGAAGCAAACCATACCTATAGAGATGATATTTTTAAAGGCCTTGCAGATATTATTTATTTAGAAGCTCGAGACTTTTTTGAACATCATAACTGAAGGCTTATTACTAGGAAAAATTATAAGAATAATTTTTTTTAATGAAGTTCATATTGAATAAAATATTTTATGTTGTCAGTATTTATTTTCCTAAGTATAGTTTTTTTTGTTCTTAAAATTTTCAGTATTACTTATGATATATTTCTTTTCTTTTTCTTTATAAAGAATATGAAAACTTCTCAATCTTCAGTTGGCTGTATAAATAACAAAGAAGAAATATGCATGATATATTTTAATGGAATAATAATGATGTGATGACCCAAAAGGTCATCACTTGTTTTAGAAATAAATTCTGTGTTTCGAGGCCTTAAAAACCTCTTTTTGTCTTACCTCGATTTGTGTACGCAATCCGAGCATGTATCCGGAAAGCCATTATGTGAAAATCTGTGAAAATGATGAATTTGACTTTTAAGATGAATTTAAGTTGACTTTGGTTAACAATCTTGGTAAACGGATCCGGACCCGTGATCCGACGGTCTCGTAAGATCCATAGTAAAATTTGGGACCTGGGTGTACTCAGAATTGAATTCTGAGGTCCCAAACCCGAGAAATGAATTTTTGAAGAAAATTGTTTAACTGAAATTTTAAGAGTTTTTAGAAACTTGAATGTATTGGAATTTGATGGTATCGGGCTCGTATTTTGGTTTCGGAGCCTGGTACAGGTCTTATGTGGTATTTAAGTTGAGCATGTAAAATTTGGTAAGAAACGGACTTGATATGACGTGAATCGGACCATCAGTTGTTAAAAATAGCACTTAAGAGTTCATGAGATTTTTCTTTGATTTTGGTGCTAAATTCATGGATATTGATATTATTTTGATGATTTGATCGCACGAGAAAGTCTGTATGATGTTTTTGGACTTGCGTGCACGT